AAAACATTTGTATAATCAGAAACACCATCTTTAATTTCCTCAGAACGGTGACACAAGCCACAAAATCAAGGCGAGGTCCTCCTCAGTAACCTTTGCCACCAGAGAGGAGAAGGCCACTTCCCCTCTGCCAACTCGTCACTCTGCATTATTCCTGAAGCTGGTTCTGCCTGGGCGGCAGGGCTCCTGGACTAGGTCCCCCTGCCAGTCCCTGGCTCACAGCAGCCGGGGATCACACGCCTAAAACCCTCCCCGCACAGCGTTCCCACCAACAATGTCAAGGCACACTTCCTTCTATTCTTCCTCTTGACAAAGGTCTTCAATCTTCAAACTGAGCGCACACATTTCCCAAGACAAGCCTCATCTGTGGCAGTCCCCGCGCGTACCGAGTGGACTGGCCAGGAAGGCCGGCCAACGTCAAAACCACGGCTGGTGGGGAGCACCAAGGCAGCCCACTACCATTTATGGAAGTTTGTCTAAAGTGTGGCTCGAGGTGTGGCCCTGGGTTCCCTCCCAGCCCTACAGGAAAACAAAATCACACAAAGCAAAGCACGATCCATGTGCGCGTGTAAACGTGTGCGTGTAAACGTGTGCAAACACAGGAACATACAGCAACAGCATAACACGTGAACTGGACGCCACCAGATTAACAAAAGGAGGAGGAGCCAGAGGGTGGTGCCCAGAACCGGGCATGGTGGGGGGACACCGGGCGAGGGGTGGGTTCCTGACTGGCTCTGCTCTCAAGTGAAGCCACGTTAAGGTAATTATTCGAGGTTCTGAGGGGAACAACCTAAACTTAGAAAAAGGTCAGATGAAAACGCGCGGCTGTGCATGGAGAGAGCAAGCCGGGCGGGGCAGCCTGACGTCCGGCCAGCCTGCCCTCCCTCAAGGACTCTCATCCCCAGTCCTGCCTGATGCTTGTCCTGGAGCTGCTGCCCCCTGCCCCCCACACACACACACCCGCCTGGCCAGCTTCAGAAAGCTCCCTCTCGCTCTTTCTGTTACTTCGGCACGAGCAACCATGAGCAGCAAAGTCTCTGGAGATACCCTGTACGAGGCGGTGCGGGAAGTCCTGCATGGGAACCATCGCAAGTTTCTGGAAATGGTGGAGCTGCAGATCAGCTTGAAGAACTATGATCCCCAGAAGGACAGCGCTTCTCGGGCACCGCCAGGCTTAAGTCCACTCCCGCCCTAAGTTCTCTGTGTGCGTCCTGGGGGACCAGCGGCACTGTGACGAGGCCAAGGCTGTGGATATCCCCCACATGGACATGGAGGCATTGAAGAAGCTCAACAAGAATAAGAAGTTGGTCAAGAAGCTGGCCAAGAAGCATGACGCCTTTTTGGCCTCAGAGTCTCTGACAAAGCAGATTCCACGAATCCTGGGTCCAGGCCTAAATAAGGCTGGTAAATTCCCTTCCCTGCTGACACACAATGAAAACATGGTGGCCAAAGTTGATGGGGTGAAATCCACAATCGAGTTTCAGAGGAAGAAGGTGCTGTGTCTGGCTGTTTTGTTGGTCACGTGAAGATGACAAATGATGAGCTTGTGTACAACATCCACCTGGCTGTCAACTTCCTGGTGTCATTGCTCAAGAAGAATTGGCAGAATGTCCTGGCCGGGCTTCATACATCAAGAGCACCATGGGCAAGCCCCAGCGCCTGTATTAAGGCACATCGTAATAAATCCTAGTGCTAACATCCCTTAAAAAAGACAAAGAAAGCAAGCTCCCTCTCGTCCCCTTCCTTTCCCTTCCCTCCTCAGATGGCTGGTGGGACGGGGCCTTCCCATCCAAGAACCAGGAGATGTGCAGATGACGTAGAAGAGTCCCCTGGAGAAGTGAGCTCCCTCTGCCACAGGAGGTTGGGCTAGAAGTGACCGAGACTCATTAGAAATGCTCTGACCAGGTGTGGGGGTGCTTATCACCTGGGGCTTGATAAAAACAGACTCCTGACCTCCACGGCAGGTGTGAGGCCTAAAGACCTGCACTTCTAACAAGGCCCCCGGCTGGTGGCTGGCTGGAACCACCGCTCTAGCCCACTGAGCAGCTGTCCTGTCTAGCAGCTAGGGAGCATTCAAAAATGCAAATTCCAGAGCCCTGACCCCAGCAGAGCCCAGGGCAGCAGGTCAGGAGGAGGAGTGAGACTGGGATTATTGGTGGTCCTCAGGGTCCCAGCCACACTGCCCTACACCCCAGAAAAACGGCAAGAGCCCTTTGTTTCAGCAGACTGTCAGAGGTCAAGTTCAGCTTTCTTGCAAAAGAAGCCCATGTTCTTCAGGAGAGACCCCATCTTTCCAATGGCCCCTCCTCTACTGGGCTGCAGAAAAGGAAGTAAGAGCAGGGAGTAGAACAGTCTCCTGCAGGACAAGACCCAGGGCAGGTGGCAGAATGTGTCTGCCAAAAAGCTACCCACCGGGGCAACCTCTCCCCCACCCCACCCATCCCAGGCATTCCACCTTCCACTGGGGAGGCTAAGCGGTCCTCTGGGAAGCGTCTGCGGCATTCCCCGGCGAAGTCACGCCAGGTCAGGGGGACGGGGGAATGGCAGGATATGCAATTGTATATATGGCAGGGCCACAATGACATAAAACAAAAACCATTCACACGAGAACTGAGAGGAAGCACTAAAAAACGGTCACAGCGATTGCCTCCCAGGAACAGGGGTGGGCTCGGGGGTGGTTTGGATTTCTGGCTACTTATTTTCTAAGCTGTTCATAAAGAGGACGTGCAACTTCCACCATGAGAACTGAACTTTATTTTGCCATAAATCAGAAAGAAAAAATACACAGCAGAACACTGTCCACTCTGAACGCACAGGGCCCCAAACACGCGCGTCTTGCTGGGTTGGGTTTCTCCAAGCGAGCAGGCTGGGAGGCAGTGACCACTTGGGCTGCCCTTTGCCAACACACACACCAGCCCTACCCTCAAATAGCTACAGGGCAGAGGGCAGAGAACTGGGGTGCAGGGTCCTCTCTCTCACTTCCCAGTCCTTCTGGGCCCAAGTCTGGACTGGCCTTTGCTTCCTTCATGTGATCATTTCACGTCTTCTGCGGCTCTACACAGCACCAAGAGCAGCAAACTGCCTCTCAAACAGACACTATCTGCCCTGGGTCCAGCCCAGACCTGGACCTCAGAGCAGCTGGCCACCAACAGCATGAGGCCTGCACAGCACCGGTATGGCTTGAGCTGCGCAAGAGCTGGGCGCTCCACACGGTTTTTGGAGGGCTGCGGATACCCCACCTCTGCCTGAGCACTGCACAGCTGCTGGAGACGATGCTTCCCCTACCAGGCACACCTGGACCAGAGAGCGTCTACTAGAGTGTGCCGCTGGCTCTGGCCAGCCCTGCAGACCCTTCTGAACCCTGAATTCACATCTCTCTCATGTCCACATCCTGCCCAGCTTTGAGTCATCTGAAAAAAAAAAGGTACCAGGGATTGAACCCAGGGGCGCTTCACCACCAAGCAAAATCCCCAGCCCTTTCTCATATTTTTGAGAGGCAGGGTCTTGCTGAGTTGCTTACAGCCTTGCTAAGTTGCTGAGGCTGGGTTTGAGTTCTCAATCCTCCTGCCTCCCAAGTTGCTGGGATTATAAGCATGCGCCACCGAGGCCAGCTCATCTGAAATTTGATAAGCAGCCTTCATCCAAGTAGCCAGAAAATGCTGACACCATCAGAACAGGATGCTCCTGCACCTCCTGGCTCCTACCCACACCCCTTGCCCTGCTCTCTCCTTCCCATGACCCTCTGAACCCAGAAACTCAGTCGCCCACAAAGTCTACCTCAGGTGTCACCTCCTCCAAGAAGCATTCCCAACCTCCCTCCACCCCCAGGCTGGACTGGGGTCTCCTCTCCTGAACCTCAGCACCATCTGCTCTCAGGCACCTGGCACAGCACCAGGAGGGCCTGCTCCCCACACACACAGCACCTGCACACAGGGCCACACCCCGAGCACCTGCTGGACGCCAGTGCAGCCCCCAGAGCCCTTGCTCCAGATGCCAAGTTACAGGCAACACAATCGCCTTTGCCCAGTGGACACAGGGAGGCCTTAGCTGCAATGCCCCTGCCTACCACATGTCTAGCCAGAACACGGCTCCCACGGATAAGGAAACAAACCCACTTTGGTTCCCAGAATGAACTCTGGGGCCTCCCTCCTGAGCGCCAGTCTCCTCCTCAGTCCTCTGTAACTAAAGGACAGACTGGTTTGAAGCTCCCAAGGTGATGCTCAAGGAGCTGAGTGCTAGGAACAGGTCTCAGAGCAGGGCTGGCCCTGGACATGCTGAAACCTGGCATGAATCTGTCAGAGGCTTGTTCTTGAGCTGAGGTTCTCATACCATTTCCCTGGGGTCCTAGGAGGAGAAGAGGCCACTGTGACTGAGCAGAAAGCACCTGGTCCCCCAACCCCCAAGACAACCAGAGTGACTACCCCTTCACCTGGGGCCTCAAGAGAAACCACACAGGGAAGAGAGTTTCATTGCTAAGAGAAGGCTTGAAGACCAGCCTCCCGGAGTCCACGGCTGCAGTCCACTTCCCATCGCTACCAGCCATGCAGAGATCACGTCCTTGGTCACAGGTTCTCGGCTGGCCCTCCGAAGGCTGGGGCAGACCCTCCGTCAGCCTGTCTCACCCCTCAAGCACGCTGATCAGACCCAGGGGCCTCGGGAAACGCCCCAGCTGGCCACCTGGAGATACACCGGCTCCCTTCCTGGCCCCTGCAGAGCCCAAACGTGGTCCCTTCTCCCCGTCCACCCTTGCATGGCTCCTCTAAGAGACACAGAGCCGGGTGCACGGACAATAATCCCTTCCGGCAAGTTCCCAAGCTGAAGTCCGAGGCTCCCTGGGCCTTCACAGTGAGGGGCGCGAACCCACCCACTGCGCTGAGTCAAGCCAAGGGCAGCAGCTCAGCCTCCCACAACGCCCACAGGAGGGCTCAGCAAGCAGCTTCCCAAGGCCACCACTGCCTTGGGCTTCCCGCGAGGAGGAGCACCATGAAGGAGGCCCGCCCTACCTGGTAGTAGGTCTTGATGCTTCTCACCAGGATGGTCAGGTTCTGGATGCGAAGGTTCACGTCGTTGTTGACGTGCCTGTGGATGCGCTGATTGGTGGGCCGGGGGTCTCTGTGGGAAGAAACAGGACAGCGGAAATCGCACCTCCTGGCCCGTGTCACACTTCCTTCCCCAGTCTCCACCACCCTTCAGTCCTCCAGTCCCCTGAGCCTCGTGAGGCCCTGTTGACTATGAGGTTGTGACAGTGCAGTTCAAGCCAAATCCTAACTGCCAGGGCCAAGCCAGGACTCTGGGAGAGCCTCCCCTCCCCACTGCCCACCCAGGCACTGGGCTGCCGCGGCCCTCATCAGGCTGCTTCCATCCCTCCTGTTATTGGCACCATAAGGACAGTCACACGTCAATGAAGACCCACTGTCACACTGTATAAAGATCAATAACCTACACTGGGCCCAGTGGCACACGCCTAGAATCCCGTCAACAAGAGAGGCCACAGCAGGAAGATCCTAAGTTCAAGGCCAGCCTCACCAACTTAGGAAGAACCTCAGCAACTCAGCAAGACCCTGCCCCTCAAAATAAAATATAAAGAGGGCTGGGCATGCAGCTCAGTGGTAAAGTTCCCTGGGGTTTAATCTCCAGTGCCAAAAATAAATAAAACAAAAACTAAGCAAAATAAGTGAAATATCAAGAAAAATAAGAAACATGATTATGTCTAGAAACTGATATACCCAGTCTAAGGCACTGCACAGTGTACAAGTGCACCCATGAGAAACGCTGGGAGGCAAGTCACCCCTGAGGGGACCCCCCCAGGAGTCGTTTGTTTTCCAACCTCGGGCAGAGGGGAGGTCTGGCCAGGACGGAGCTGGAAGGAAGGCTACACCCCCGTGATCTGGAATCTCTCCCACCTACGTGCAGGGCCTCTGTGTCGGCCAATGGCTAGGTCTAGGGGCCAGATTCAGCGCCCGCCTTCCTCAGCTGCCCTGCTTTTCCTGACAAAGGCTTCCCCTCCAGTCCCTGTCCCAAGACACCTCCAAGGACTGACATCGAACTCGAAGCCCTCCAACTGTGGGGTTTCATCTGTCATCCACACACAATGACAAAAGCGCAGGACCTCCCGGGGGCTGGTGTGGGGAGTCGAGGAAGAGAGTCTCAAGCCGACTGGCTCCTTTAAAGCCAGCAATTAATGGGAAACTGAGGAATAGGAGGAAAAACCCTACACATCAAAATCATGCCAAACGTCATCGGAAGTATAATGCTTTTGTGTAACACAAGCTGTTTAAAGTTCAACCTTTAAGTAAATATTTGACATATACAAGGTGCGTCTCAGCAGTGTCCAGAGCGTGCAAACCCTTCACGCGCCATAACCAGCCATGGACTTATTCAGTCATCCCATATCTGCTAAAACAGCCACACTGGGGCGACCAGAAGACCTCTTTCTAATTGTCATTGTCCCTGCACAGTGATGGAGTCTGGCCAAGTCATCTACATGTTCCACGTTTCTCCTAGAGCCATTCATTACAGAGAAAATAAAGGTTTTACAGTTCCATTGAAATTAATTTAGGAAAAGAGGTGGCATTCAGAATTTAACCACAAAGGCATTTCAGCTACAGAGTGTTCTAGCATTTCAAAATAATTTTTCTTCCAGGTGCAATTCTCCTCCTTTGACTGTAGCTACCTTAAGAGATGAGAAGCGAGCGATTCCATAGTGACAACACGCTGCTTAACAGAGCAGCGCTCAGAGAGCAAGCAGGGCTTTTACTGCCGTACCACTACTGCAGTACCAGACCCATGTAAGGCAGACAGGGCCACCCCAGAGTGCCAGGGCCCAAAGCTCGGCATTCACTGCACAAATCCTCCACGCAGGCAAAGGCACTGTGAGCATCCAGGGCCAGGGACCCAGGTGTCCCTCACATCACATCATATCACATCACGGCTGCTTCAGACCGTCCCTGCTTTCGTTCTCCCCAATTCTGGGAAGAAAGAACTAATTGAAACAACATTCAAAGGAAACCTTGACATTTGCTATATGACTAATTAGACTAATGACTGTGATCATTAGTACTCCCTCATTTAACTAAAGCTCTCGGGTGAAGAGAGGTTATTAGGAAACAAATGAAGACCAAAGGCTCCACCCTGGTGAAGGAAGCCGGGTTCCACCCACCCAGCACCCCCACAACTCCCACCTCTCTGGGCTGCACAAAGTGGGAGCCAGAGGCACAGACAGATTGCAGTCCAGGCTCCAAGGCCGGCCACAATTCTCTGGGCCTCAGTGTGCTCATCTGCAAAATGGCCACAGGATCCTTCCAGCCCTGAAGGACATCATGCCATGAAGCCACGGCTGGTGGCCAGTCTGGACTGGGCTTCTATGCCAGGAAAATCAGGTCATAGCTACCGCACCATGCCCCCAAAAGCTGCCACTAACTAAACAGAGATCTTTTACACCACGGCCCCAGGACATAAAAACCCTAGTGCTGCAATAGGACCTCAGAGGACAGGAAAGAGACACATCCGTGGGGCAGCTGGCCCAATGTTGGGGAGTTCCAAGTTCAAGGTGTGGGGCCCCCAGGCCCTCAATTGCATAAAAACTTCTAACTAGAAAAAAGGAAGTCAACTCTTGCTAGACTCTAAAAGAGGGTTAGAATTTAGGATTACAGCAACCTTGTCCCCTCCTTAGGGAAAGCCAGTGTCTATGTTTTGGAAACATTCAAGAGACTTCCCAAATTTAAGCAGAGTCAAAACTGTGGGGAGTCAGGTGCAGTGGTGCAGGCCTGTAATCCCAGCGGCTCAGGGAGTTCAAAGCCAGCCTCAGCAATGGCAAGGCACTAAGCAACTCAGTGAGACCCTGACTCTAAATAAAATACAAAATAGGGCTGGGGATGGGGCTCAGTGGTTGAGTACCAAAAAAAAAAAAAAAAACAGTAAGTGTTGGCGTGGATGTGGGGGAAAAGGCACACTTAAACTGCTCGTGGGACTGCAAATGGGTGCAACCAATAGGAAAGCAGTATGGAGAGTCCTTGGAAAACTTGGAATGGAACCACCATTTGACCCAACTATCTCTCTATTCCATCTATCCAAAATACTTAAAAACAGCATAGTATAGTGATGCAGCCACATCAATGTTTACAGCAGCACAAGTCACAATAGCTAAATTGTGGAACCAATCCAGATGCCCTTCAATAGATGAATGGATAAAGAAATTGTGGTATATATACACAATGGAATATTACTCAGCATTAAAAAGAGAATAAAATCATGGCATTCATAGGTAAATGGATGGAGCTGGAGAATATTCTGCAAAGTGAAGTAAGCCAATCCAAAAAACAAAGGCCGAATATTTTCTCTGATATGTGGATGCTGATCCATAATGGGGATGGGGTTGAGGAACATGGGAGGAATGGAGGAACTTCAGATAGGGCAAAGGGGAGGGAGGGGAATGGAGGAGACATGGGGGTAGAAAAGACAGTGGAATGACATGGACATCATTACCCTAAGTACATAAATGAAGACACAAATGATGTGACTCTACTTTGTGAACAACCAAAGACATGAAAACTTGTGCTCTATATGTGTATTATGAATTGAAATACATTCTGCTGCCATGTGTAACAAATTAAATAAATAAAAATTGTGGGGGCTGGGGTTGTGGCTCAGTGGTAGAGTGCTTGTCTAGTATGTGTGAGGCCCTGGGTTCAATTTTCAACACCACATATAAATAAAATAAAGGTATAAAAAATCGAATTGTTAAAGTTTGGATTGGGCAAAGGGGAGGGTGGGGAGGGGAGGGGTCATGGGGCAGGAAAGATGGTGGAATGAGACGACATCATTACCCTAGGTACAAGTATGACTGCACAAGTGGTGTGACTCTACATTGTGTATAACCACAGAATTGAAATGTTGTGCTCTATCTGTGTACAACGAATTGAAATGCATTCTGCTGTCATGTATAACTAAGTAGAACCAATTTTTTTAAAAAATTGTTTAAAAAAAAAAGAAGAAACTATGGATTTCCAATAGAGAGATGTCTGCAGCATATCACAGGTTAAAAAGAAGAAGATGTAGCATGTGCCCATATGCATATAAAAATCAATACACACTTTACACAACATCTGGGAGGAACCAGAATATTAACACTGCTACTGCTACATCACAAAATTATAGATGATTTTTACTCTGCTCCTCTGTATGCTCCTATTCTCCTACAATGGACATAAACTTTTTATGTAATTTTTAAGGACTCAAAGCCCTCTTGAAGATTGTTATTTATGTGCTACAACCAAAAAAGGAAATTACTGGGCCGGGATGCAGCTCAGTGGTAGAGCACTTGAGGAGGCCCTGGGCTCCATCCCCAGCACCACGGAAAATAAAAGGGGTGGGAGGATTGCTCACATTCATTCCCAAGGAAAAACCTTTTTGCTCCACCATTTTTGCACAACACAAACTCATTCACTCAACAGGTATTTGCCCTTTTATCCTCAGCTTCTGCATCTGCAAAATGGGAATATGAACTCCTCTGGGAGGCACTGGGGGCGGAAATTAGCCTTTAAATGCTTTTTAGAAGCTGAAGAAACTCCTCATTGGCCTAAGGATGCTTCCAACCTCCAAATAATTAATGTATTACCCTGAATTTTGCAACTAGCACAAAGAGTCAGAAAGGAACCTGAACAAAGAATTAAATTTACTGCCACCTACGTGGGGGCACAAGCTCCCAGCCTGAGCCCCCAGTTTCCCGCTGCACTAGACATCCAAACCATCGGTACCTCCCCTCACCGCACAGCTGCACAGGGGCACAGATGAGCACATGCGCACAAACCAAGCTCCTGGCCTCCTGAGGACCACAGTGACTGACAGCTGCCGTGGGACATTTGTGTATGCATCATCTTATTTACTCCTCCCTAACCTATGATCTACCACCCCTTTATCACTGATCAGGAAACTGAGAATCGGAAGGTTAGAGTAATTTGTCCAACCTCACAAAACCAGTAATGGCAGGATAACAATTCGAATTCATCTGCCGGACGCTAAGGTCAAGGCTCTAAAGCAATTTCCTACAAAAGAATCCAAACCATATCCAAAGTGAATCCATCCTTGCCCACAGAAGGTGCTTACTTAGGACCTAGTCACAGGCTCTCCAGGGCATCCCCTGCCAGGCCACTGAATGTCACACTCTCATTCAGGAACTTTCCTGTACCTGGGCCTCCCCTGAAAGCTGAGCCCATAGGGCTTTCCTGCTTCTAGGTGACACTGATGTCACCAGGAGGACAGGGCCAAGAGACTACTACTACAGCCTTCTAGGGTTGCCAGAGACAATGGCCAGGTGCGGTCACATGACCCCACCTCTAACCAGCCTCCAGATGGCTCCAGAGTGTTAGGTAACAGCCTCTTATCTGCCACCCCCTGTGCAACCCAGCCAGCAAAACTGCTCTGCCATTTCCTGGGGCCCACCAACTTGGGGAGCATTTATCAGAGCGGACCAGCTCACGATCTTGGGCTCCCAGCACAGGAGATAAGGCTTACCTGCGCCTTAGCCTGACATTTCTCCACTTGGCAGAGGGAAAACTGAGGCCCGGCTGAAGTACAGAATCGGATGTGGGGCCAGGCCTTCTGCCCAGGTCCAGCTTCACTTCAGACCTCATCGGGAGAGAGCGGAGGCCGAGAATCCTACGGCCCTTTAGGGACTGAGAATGCGGGGGAAAGGCAGACTGAAACACAAACTCGAATGGGGAGCCTCTGACTTTTTTTGGACCGTAACGGAGCAGGAGCCCTGGGCCCAGAGCTGGCACAGCATCTCACAAGAGCCAACAACCAGCGCTCCACGGAAGAACTGTACTTCCCAAGTCCCAGATGGGAAATGAAGGCACCAAATGGCATGTCCCATGTCACACTGCTAGCAGGAAAGAGACCTAGGGTTCAAACCCAGGCTGGCCACCTAGGCTGTCCAATAGTGGGGCATGAGTTCTACTTATTTAACTTCTATGGTCCTGGGGATTGAACCCAGGGCCTTGCCCATGCTAGACAGATGCTCTACCACTGAGCCTGAGCCTGAGCCCCAACCCCTATTTCTTAATAAACCACAGTAACTTTTACAGAGTGAAATGGTGGTTTGTTTTTTTTCCCCCTTGGTAACCAGATCAAACCCAGAGACACTTAACCATTGAGCCACATCCCCAGGCCTTATTTTTTATACTAGGGCCTTGTTTAGTTGCTGGGGCTGGCCTCAAACTTGCAATTCTCCTGCTTCAGCCTCCAGAGCTGGGATTACAGGCGAGCGCCACCAGGCCCTACAGCTGGTTTAAGTCACAGTTTGAGGCATTTAGGAAAGTGAAATGTATCCTAAAGATCACTTCCAACACCCCCCACTCCAAAGGTCCCAATCGGCAACCACTTCCAGACAGACTCTGACCCCTGACCCCCAAGTAGGGCACCTTGTGCTGCGGGGGTCCTGTGCCCACCCACTCTCTCCGCTGTCCTCCTCCTGGAAATCCTCTCATCACCTTCCTCACTCCTGATCCAGCCGGAGGGACCCAGGAGAGCCACAAGCACACCAGGTTCCCACTTCCAGTATGACCACCTTGGCTTATGGCAGAGGAAAAAATATCATTGAAAACTGCCAGGGGAGGGGAGCAGCCCTTCAGCCCCATTTAGCAGCAGGGCAAATGCGAACAAGTGATGAGCTGGCATTTCTCAAAGGAATGGTCCAGCAGGCTTTCCTGATTTACAAGCAAGTGGTAAACGCTTCAGGAATTCCAAAGGTCAGGGAAGAAAAGAGAAACAGTCCCAGGGCTTTTGTTCTCCCGGGCTGCCAGGGCGTAAAGCTGAATGAAAAGGAGGCGACGCTGCTGGTTTTTTTAATTAAACAGTCTCAGGCTCACTTGGGTAAGGACAGGTTGAAGTTTGGTCATGACACCAATGAAACCCAGCAATCTGGGGAGTCCAGCAGAATGTGGGGAGGACTGCCGGAGCTCTGCTGCCCCAGGAAAACTCATTTCATCAAGGTTCTCTGAGAAGCTCAGCCAACGCTGACAATAGATGTGTCTTTTTAGAAGCTAATCAAATACTGAAGACCAGTGAGATTAGAAGCACCTTATATTTTAAGATGGCAGGGTCTCTCCCACAGCATGACACCAAATGACAAGAAAACAAAAGACACAATGTAACAGGAAAATGTTTTGAACAGACCTTTTTAGGTAGAATCTATTACCTATCTTTTATTTATATCTTTCTGGATATGCCAAAGCAAACTGTTCATTCTCCTTCACTGACCGCATACGAAGCTGATTCCCAGTAGCTACTGGATTTATGCTCAAATATGACAATGTGCTTGTTCATAGGTAAGGAGGTAAGAGTAAGGAGCTGACCCACAGAGAACATCAGGGTGTTTCATTCTGCTTCAAGTGACTGTGAATCACACTGACTCTCAGTTCCAATAATTCCTTGCAGCTTCTGAGTTAAAAACAGAATGCAGCTGTAGGAGCCAACACCTACATTGTGACAGGCTGTCAATCAAACGCAGACAGGCTCTGAAGAACTCAGCAACAGGAAAGGATGTGGTCAGACACATACACTAGCCAGTCAACTTCTACCAAGACCTTGCTTAAGTCGCACGCTTCCAAACAAACAGTTCCCTGGATCCAACTCCCTGTGCATCTCCTAACGGACTGACTCTAAATCCATTTCATGCAAAGGGGCTTAATCAACTGCACTTGCTCTGGAATCAACTGAAAAAGAAAACCCAAGGGAACTCAGGCAGAGTCCTAACCTAAAGTGAAACTTAATAGTCACACTAGGATGCTCTCAGCCCACCCCTGACACTTCCTGTAACAAGACACTCTCCGTTACAGTTCAGTGCTCCCCAAAAGAAAAGGGGCTTTTTCATTTCATTGCTCAAACCACAGTTAAGTCCTTGAGTTTGAAGTCAATCGCACTATCTACACCTCGTGAATGGCAGTCCACTCCAAATTTCCTTCATCCAACAAGCAACCAGAGCACAGTCCTGGATGGAGGTCTTTACACAACCAAGAAAGCTGTAAAAGCGCCCTGTAACACTGAGATATGGGTGTCCCTCCAACAGGCAGCCCCTCCCTAGCCACCTTGCATTCCACGTTTACAATCTTAAACTTCTACAGCATCATCCTTTCCCTCTTCTCTGAAGAAGGCAACTTACATTTGCAACATGATTTGGTTCAAAAGGATGCCGTCCACTAAATCCATATACAGACTCAAGTTGTCCTGGTTGCCGCTTCCAAACGAGCCAAAAGTTTTCACCTGCCGGGAGGTGGAAGAGCAGAGAAAAAGAGAAAGGCAGGAAGTCACTCAAGGGCACAAAACACCGAACGCTCCTCGGGCAAAGGCGATTGGGTTGGTGTGGACAGAAGGGGATCACCCACGCCCCTGCACACTTCAGCAGGCACCGAACCTACCCTTCTCCCAGGGCCTCTGTCCCCTCGCCACTCCGGGCAACGGCGCAAGGCAGGAGGAGGAAAACTTCCTGGGCACTTTTCTCCAGCGTCCGAGAGCGCGGAGGATAAGGGGGGACTTTTCAATAAATTTCTCACGTCTCAGATCCACTGGAAAGCAGTGCGCCCACCCCAGCCTGTTCACGTTCCCACTTGGCGTCCCCCATTCCCCACCCGTCACCGCCACCCACCGGCTGGTCTGGGGGTTCAGAAACCCACCAGGGTATTTTGCGGAGAGCAAGCAGGGTCCGTTTCGGGAAGGACCACTCGGACCCCGTCGGCCCCGGGACCGCCAGCCCAGCGCCCAGCGGGAACAGGTGTACCCGCTCCGCCCCCGGCCCAGCCGCGAGCGCGCAGCCCAGCGCCCCCGAACTGCAGGACGCCCAACCCCACCGCGGCCGGCGGCCACCTGCTGTGTCCCCTGCGTCCGGGTGGGCACCCCGGCCCGGCAGGAGAGGAGCCAGGGCACCAACAAAGAGGCGGGGAGGCGGCGCACTCACCCAGGTCACCAGCGGGCTCTGTAGGAAGAGCTCCATGAGCTCCGAGACGGTCACGTCCATGCTGAGGCTGCGCCCCCCGGCTCCGCGCCCCGCG